GGAGCACGCTGGGATTTGGCGCCCCCCTCCTCCGTTCAGCCTATATAAGGCTCGCAGTCCGCACTTGGGGTACACGCGCTTCAACTTCGGTTGGTGTGTGTCGAAGAAACCCGACAGCGACCAGCGGAGAAGTCCACCGAGCCTCGCGGAAAGTCCGCTGAGCAGCTCCGTCCGCTCTCCGGGCGGCGGAGCACCCAGCGGGTCCCACGCCTGGCCAGGTGTGGGACTCGGGCTTCCTGTCTTCGCAGAGGAGTCCTCGCGTGGTGAGTATGCGGTGAGGATGTTTTTTGTTTTTTGTTTTTTGTTTTAAATCTTAAAAATCACATTCAGTACCCGTTTTTATCGGAAGCTGCGGGAGATGGACTAGCGCCCCTGGATATCTCCACGCAAACCTTGTCATGCCTTCACTGGCTGAACCCCCAAACTGGGGAAACCAAGCCTTCGAGGCTTTGGTTTCCAGGACTCAAGTCCAGAGATAGGCTGTAGACAGACATGAGCTGCGGACGGTAATGAGCTGCAGACGCACATGAGCTACAGACCAATTTGCTCTTCAAATGCGCTGCCAAGAGACATGTGCTACTAGCCGATTGGCGCTTTTATGCGCTACAAACTGGTAAGCGCTTCAGTTGCGCTACAAACTGATGCTCTGTGCACTCTAAACTGATGCGCGCTTCACTCGCTGCATACTGATGTGCGTTTCATGCGCTACGAACTGATGGGCGCTTTCATGCGCTACAGGCTGGCGCTTCATGCGCTACAAACCTGTACGAACTGCAGCGGCGGAGGAGCTGCACGCTGAACTGATTGGCGCCTTGAACGCGCTACAAATTCTGAGCTGCAGAAGATCAGCTCTACGAAGGCGCTGCCGAAATGGTACAATTCGTCCTACAACAGCGCTTCATGCGCCCCAAGGCACATGCACTGCAGAGGTACATGAGCTGCAGAACGATTTACACCTTGGAGGTGCTACAAAATGGGAATTGCTGCAGGGGTAGACGAGCTGCGAAGTGTTTTATACAAAATCTACCAGATGGAGGGATGGGAGCTGCAGAGTACAACGACCCTGGATTCTTAGAGGGGAACCCCACCCTTTCACCTTTTGGAACGGCTCCCATTCCGTAAGCGGGATCTCTGCATGATGGTGCTGTTAGACAAAATGGAGCCCCGGGCAAAAATTAGTGTTTAACGTTCTTCCCACACCATTCCCGTTACAGCGGTGGAATGGAGGGGCGCTGACTTTTGGTGATGGCCGGCAGACTGGGCTGTCTGTCTAGTTGTGCTTGACCGAAGTGACCGTATAGTTGTCTCGTTGGCGCGAATGGGCGGCCAGCAACAGTTTGTGGAAACTCGGTTTGCTGGGGGGGGCAGGCGATCTTGGGGTGTTTGCTCTTGCTGCATGAAATGAATCTGGATGTTGGAAACTGGTGGGAGGAGCTTGGGGAGGGAGGGACACTGAGGCAGGCGTGCAGAGACTGCAGCCCTGTAGCAGCCAGTCTCAGACCTGCCCCCCCATCCGAGCTAGCCTCCCCGCGCTGC